TAAATTTATTTATTTGTTGCAGCATCTTGCCACATAGCTCAGAGTTGTAGGGATTCTCCTGTCTTCGCCTCCCCAGTGCTGGGGTTACAGGTATGCACCACCATGCCTGGTTTCGGTAGTCAGCATGGCACGCTTGGGGTTGCAGGGTCAGCGTGGGGGGCTTGAACCCGGGTCCTTGTGCTTGCCAAGCAGGCACTTAGACTGCTTAGCTATCTCCCTACCCCCACGTTTTTGTTATTTCAATTTTATCTTTTGACATAGATAATACCAACCAATATTCTGTTACAACTATATCTACTTAATTATGGCTTGGCTGCAGACCAAGCGCTCAGTGAAGGCCACTGAAAACATTTTGTGAGAATCAACTGGCCTGCTGGTTGGTAGTGTATGCCCATAATCCCAGCACTCGGGAGGCTTAAGCAGGAGCGTTGCTGTGAGTCCAAGGCCAGCCTGCATTATATAGTGAGACCCTATCTTTTTTTCTTTTTTTTTGGAGACTCTGTCTTAAAAAAAACAATTGGCCATACAGAATTTATAACAAAGAGATTCATTTATTTTGCTATTTATAAATTACTTGCTACATACCCTTTATATAGGTAATAGCCATAAACACACAGATATATACTCATTTTTTTTTTTTGCAGAACCAGAGATTGAACTGAGGCCCTTGCGCTTGCCAAGGAAGCGTTTATTCTACTGAGCCATCTCCCCAACCTCCCCCCCACATTTTTTTGAGAGCTGTTGTTACACATATCCCAGCATGCCACCATTCAGAGACCCCAGTTTTGCTTCCGTGGAACTTATCTGCTGCTTTAATGGTGGGAGTGCTTGCTTGTCTGTGCCCTGCTTGGGCTGTGGGTCTCTGTGGCAGGGTCACATGTACCTCTGCTCACACACCTGTGGGTTCCCTGCACTCCCTCAGGACCCAGAGCCTAGAGTTACTCGGTTGACTCCAGACTACCCTCACACAGACTTCTGGTCCAGTGTGAAGGCCTGACTCTGCCCTCTGGGAGAAGTCTTGAGTGACTGGCGTAGCTGCGGGCCAGGGGGCAGCGCTGAACTGCACGGGGCTCTGGCTGTCCTGACCCCTAGAGGGCTCGTGGTCAATAGAAGCACGAGGAAAGCTCTGTAGGCAGAAGTGAGACTCACCAGGCATGGGCAGGCTGCAGGGCTCTCAAGGGCAGGGCTGGTCTTGTGACCACCTCATCCCCAGAGCTTGTCTTGTCCTGCCCCCATCCCTTCTGCTCTGCTCTTCTAGCCCCTCCTCACACCCAAGCCCTGCTTGGCTTCTGGCTGTTCCTTAAGTAAGTGGGCCATGTTTCCTCCCCACTTGGGGCTTAGTCTCCTGTACCTGCTGTCCTCTGCTGTCCCCCATGCCTAGACTGCAGTTCTCCAGAAATCTGCCTGGCCTGCATGGATATCAGGGTCCCGTCCAAATTGCACCTGGTCTGAGAGGCCCACGCTGACAACGGTGCCCTGCAGCCAATGGACCCTGTCTTCCCTATCCTGCTTTTCTCCTGGTTTCCTTTTCCTGCATAACTTTTCTCTTAATTTGTCTCCCTTGAAGGGTCCTGTACCAATCCCATGAGAGCGGGGATTTTTTCTGTTAGGTTCTCAGCTACAGCCCTAGATCTGGAATGACACACGTAGATACATAAGCTACACTGTGGACACATTGCTTAGACAGCTGCAGAGGCTGAAGGGCACAGTCCAGCCCATCTCATCTCTGGCTGCTCATCTGAAACCCCACATAGTTTTTCTTATTCCTCTGAGGTTAGCTCCCTAGCCCAGCGGAAAAGGTCGCTTCTCCAGGTGAACCAGAGACTTCTTCCCTGACAGCATACCCAGGTGGTACCGGGGCCAGCCAGGCAGGGAGGGACTCCATCCAGGGCAGCTCCTAAGGCTAAGGTGGTAGAAGACCAGCCAGCCTTGGCAGGTAGAGGTGTTCTGATTCTGTTTGACATGCACATGCCTTTCTGTATTTTATTTTTCAAAATTAAGCTGACATTCATAAGTGGAAACAGATCATCTGGCTTGCATTGTAGCGTGGCACAGCCCCAGTGCTAAAAAGGAGCCCATTTTAGCTGGGCTTTGTAAGCACCACAGTCCTCACCACTCCTGAGACCCTTGCTCCGGTGGTGCCCGAGGGGAAGTGCACGCATGGTAGTTTTCTCTTACAGTAGCTGTGAGCACAGAAAAGAGCTGCCAGTACAGTCTGCAAAGAGGACTGGATGAGAAAGGCTGGGGAAGCAGAGGAACTCAGCCTCCGCCCTTGCTGCCACCTTTCACTGTCCTTCTCTTCCCAGACCCACTGCTTCTACCTGGGGAAAGTGCTTGCGAAAGCCCCTTCTTCTGCCCATCAGCCCAGGCGGGTTGTTGCTTAGCAGCTGGCTGTGCCTTCCCAGGTGCGGAAGTATGAGCAGCCGCTTCTGTCTTCTTCTGACCTAGTGCGGCAAGGTCTTTGTCAGAGAAGGACGCTGACATCACGGCTGGGATGCAGTAGGCCGAGTCCTAGTGGGGCCTGGTTTCAACAACCAGAAGTGAAATTTGAGCGGTAGCCAATTGCCCTCTTCAGGCAGCCATGGGACGGACGGTAGCCACTTACTAGTCATTGCTTTTGAGTGTCTCTGTTCTGGAAGCAGGTGTCACAGGAGCTGCTGAGGAGGCCAGCTGGGTTTGCTCACCTTGCTGGGAAATAGCTACTTTCCCCCTCCTGGGGCTGTTAAGTTAATGCACCTTTTAAGGGGCTATAAACTTTTATTACTTCCTCCAAACAAAAAAGTAAGTGTTCCTCTCATTCTACTTCACTCCCATTGGTTTCCTAAGAATTTCTTTGCTTTGATTATAGAAGTAATTATCCATGTTCATTATAGAAAGATTTAAAAGGAAATAAAGCCCTCCCATAATCATGTTCATGTTTTGGAGTACCTCATCCCAGACTTCTCCCACTGTCTCCCTCCCATCCCATGCAACGGTCCACGCAGCTCTCCATCCATTTCTATATCTGTGTAGGTATTTCCCACGTATATACTTGAGTCTTATATTTTCTATTTTTAAGACACAGCAAAAAGTCTTATATATAATACACTACTAATAAGTATCACTTATTGAGTGCTTATAATATACCAGACATTGTGTTATGTGTCTCCAAAAGGCAATCTTTTTTTTTTTTTTTTGTCTTTTTGAGACAGGATGTTGCTATGCAGTAGGCCCGCCTTGAGCTCACTTTGTAACCCAACATCTTTGCCCTGAGCTACATTCCCTAGCTTTTTTTTTTTTTTTTTTTTTTTTTATTGTGAGACAGAGCCTCACTAAGTTGCTAATTTGTCCAGGTTGGGTTTGAACTTGTAATTCTCTTGCCTCAGCCTCCCAGAGTGCTAGGTTTCAGGCATGCTAGCTACTCATGTTTTATGAGAGATTTGAGACTCAGAGAAGATGTTCATTATCAAAGTTGCAAAGGTAGTGAATGCTGGGCATGGTGCTACATGTCTCTAATCGTAGCACTGGGGAGATTGAGGCAGGAAGGCCAGCCTGGCGTACTTAGTGAGTTTAGGGCCAGCTTGAACTATGTATTGAGGCCTTGTCTCAAAGACAAAACAAAACACCCCAAACAAAACAAAATAAAAAAACCATTCAAAACAAGAAAAAAAAAAAAAACCCAAATGAAATCAATGAGGTACACCTATTTTTTATATAAAAAAATAAACATTTACTGGTTAAAACTTTTTCAAAAATTACTTTAAGGAGTGGCCTCCTGTCATTAAAGAAAAAATACTTTTTAGACAAGGTCTTGCTATGTAGCCCATTCTGACCTCAAATTTGTGGACAGCCTCCTGCTTCAGCCTCCAAAGTGCTGGGATTGCATGTGCCACGCTTGGTTTGTAACTTTTTTGCTGAAGAAGATAGAAACATGTTCTGGTGGATATGGGAAGTTGATCTACAAGTAACTGGTTGTCCTATATATTCTAGAGCAAGTAACCTGATTCCTCCACCTTTAGTATCGTCCTCTGTGGAATGAAGTTTGTGTGGAGAGGAAAAGGGTTAGTGCTCTGCCTGGCAGATAGGAAGGTTTTTTTTTATTTTTTTATTTTATTTTTTTTAAATAAAGGATCTCTCTATGCAGCTTGGACTTACAGTGACCCTCCTGTCTTTGCCTCCCCAGCAATGGGGTTACAGGCGTGCTTCACCACACCTGGTTCCAGGGCCACATGGCATTTGGTACTGGGGATCTGGCTTGGGACCTCGTGCTTGCCAGGCAGGTGCTTAGACCACCGAGCTATCTCCCTGGCCCAGGAATGTTTTATAAACTTTTACAAACCCTGATGTCAACTGGAAAATATCAAGAAGCCACAAAAGTCCAGAAAGTGCCATCTACCTCAAATGGCTCATCTATGACATTTTATAAAATAGTCAAGGTAGGGCTAACAGAAATTGTGGTCTTGGTCAGTAAAGCTGCAGTAAAACTGGTTGTCTACTTGACCATTAGAAATAGATAATCTCTAAATGTGAACTGTACACAAGTCTTAAAATATCAAACCCATATATACTCCCATATATACTTCTAAAATATTTTTGGTTCAAATAAAAGTCAATGAGAGAAAACGAGAAAAATAGAATTTTAGTCAAACTGAATCATATTTGCAATGAGGCACTTAACAGTTCCTTCTCTGCACCTCTGTTGGCACAGTAACTTTTCTGAGCCTACCTTTCTCCGAGTGTCAAATACAGCTCGGAATACCTCTGTGTTGGTGAGCTTCCCCATTGCTGGTACAAGGTACCCGAAACCCACAATTTGGAGGAGGAAGGATTTCTTGCAGCTCTTGGCTCTGGGGGCTTCAGTCAATGGTCTGCTGGCTCCAAAGCAGAACCCTGGGGCTGAGGGCCTGGCTGCAGAAAACGGCTCATCTCGCTGCGCTGGGGAAGCAGAGAGGAGGGCGAAAGCCTGAGAGGGCAGGGCCAGGATCAGCTGTGAGCTCCAAGGCTACGCCCCTTAGCCCACGTCCTGCAGCTCAGCCTTCCTCCTCAAGTTCGTTCACCTATGGACTCACTGATGCTGGAGTCTCCGAATCCAGGCAGGCTGACATTCAAGGTTAACTGGCGCAGCTTCTCTTCTACACAGTGTGCAGCGGCTGAAAATGACATGAGTGAAGCTTAGCTCAGTGTCTCGGTCGTAACAAATCATACTCACTATGATTTGCTATGCAGGAGCTGGCCTAAAATACGGGCTTTGAGGTTAGATCTGGGTTAAAACTCTGGCTATGCCATCTACCAGCTCTGTCAGGATGATGTTGTTTATTTAGCTTCTCTGAGCAAGTCTCACAGGCCTTGTAAAAATGAACCAGTAACATATGCAGGAGCCCAGCCGAACATTATCATTGCTGTCTCATCCCATCATTCCTCTGCAGTTTTGGCCCCTTGTAAGTCCTGACCTGTACAAAGCAGTGCTTGATTATCCATTGCCTTGTATCAGCCTCTGCTTCTTCCCTCATGCCCTCAGTTCTGTGGGTTTTTTTCTCTGTGAGGGTCAGATGTTTGAAGGCATCAACTGGGATGCATGCTGCTTTGATACGCTTTCCACGGACTCACGCATATGCATGCCTGATAAATCTGACTGCATCTGATTGATGTTTTTTCTCCTTTGATTCTCAACATTTCACCTAGATGGAGCTGAAGCACTT